ATATAAAAAAATTTTAAACAAAAATTCAACTTCACTCTGTAAAAATATTTTAAAAAATTTATATTTTGTCCTTTATGCGTTTAAAATTTATTTTGTCACTCTCCTAAATTACCAGGTAAGGCCTAACTTTAAAAAAATACGACCAGGCCATATATTTTACTTTTAAAAAAAATCAAACCAAGCCTGAAAATAATAAAGCTGGGACAGGCCGAAAAAAATTTCTTTAAAAAATCTGGGCTGGGCAAGGTATCTTTGCAGGTCCCTGATATATATAATGCCAAAACAGGTGAAAAAAATTTACATGCTAGGCTAGATGGGGTCTATGCAGACCCCAAGCTCCAAATAACAGTGTAAATTGATTTTGAACATATATACTTTACCTAAAAATATTAAATTACCAAAATCCAGACATAAATATTGAAAGAATTTTAAGTAATACGTTTTTTAAATAACTGGAGTCTGCATAATTCCATGTGTGCTATGAAAGGCTAGAAAATATTTCCAGCCCATAGATGAGTGGCAGAAGATTTGGACACCCATTAATGAAATCGAGATTTACGTAATATTGTTTTATAATTTAAAATCGGCACAATAAAAATCAAGGTTTTTCCGAAAAAACAAGGTTTATACAGAAATAACGGGACTTACACAGAAAAATGGGAGGTTTTAATAAAAAATTAGCTAGACAAGTTTCCCCACATTGTTAATATTAATTATTTATAAAAAAAACGAAAATAAAAATTTAATGAACTACTCGTCCCCATGCTAAAGAACTGAAATCACAACTAGTTAATGTTGAATCATTTACAACCCAAAACTTGGCTTCATCTTTCAACTGTCGATTTGCCTTAGTCAATTAAGAACACTAAGCGGGCAGGTTGAATAAATCTTTTAACAAACTAGGTGGGCGGATAAATTTTAAAACAAGTGAAAAAGTTTGTTGGCTAAAAATTACTTATTAATGATCATTAAACCCAATACAAGAAATATAAAATATTTTTTAAACCCATACTAATACAATATTTTGCTGATAAACACTGGTTAATTTCACGTCGAATGTAATCCACTGTATAGATATTAAATAGGGTAAGAAAAGTGGTTATGTCACCATTTAAAAAATATATTAAAATCTAAATAACTTTCTAGAATCACTTCATTCAGGTTAAATCAATTGTTTTCTAATCATGAATAGGATCAGATTTTAATACTTTATCTGCCTAATCAATTTTAATTAGTTTATAAAAATAAGATTATTTTATAAGATCAAAATTTGTAATTTTTAGCAAAACACTCATATTTAGTATATCTTGAATCAATACACATTATAAACTATGGATATATGTAATGTTGTTAAAGTAACTAGTTACAATTATATTTTAAAAATTGTAACTAGTAACTGTAACTTGTTATATTCTTGAAATGTAACTGCCAAAAGTAACTAGTTACTTTTAAAAATATATATGTATAAATCTAAATAATATATTCCAGTAATTAATTTTATTTTTAATGTTTTTAATAATATAACTATTTATTAAAATTATAATACTATATCTATATTCTATGTAAAAATATATTAAAAGAAGAAAAATTAAATAAAATAATGTATTTAGGTTTGGTCGGCGGGGCTTAATGATCCATGTATAGATGATATACATTTGGATCGACAAATTTTGATTGATATTCTTTTGTCGTAGGTAGAAGCCTTTTTGGATCACCTATAATCAAACGTAATCTTTGCCATATTGTTTTGAATAATTTTAGGACTTGGGGTCCAAATGATCCACAGGTGTCTTAGACTACCAGAACAAACAAAAGATTATTAAGGTGGATATATTTGTTTTTGTAATTCAGCTTTCTTGATAGAGTTGAAATAAAAAGATCTGGCAAAACGATCTACACATGTATAATTCCAAGCGAGGGGTATACCTTGGTTCCAGGGGACTAGCGTCATTCCATCAGGACTGAAGCCAGAGTTCCAATGTAGAAGGAATATTTACGGATTTCAAGATTCTATTGATAATCGAATTGATGGCATAGTGCTTGGATAATTTGCCTTTTGAAAAACGACAGTATGGGGGGGAAGGGGGGGGGGGGGGTTCTAAGGCTATCGATATGAGTTTCACAAGGGACACATGGTGTCGGTGTTACGATTTCACAAAACGAAGACCTTGAGTTTCACAAGGGACACGTGATGTCGGCGTTACGATTTCACAAAAAAAAGACCTATAGCTATTCTAAGTTCTTCTTTGGTTAATAAACAAGCCTAAATTAGAATTAGGTATAGTTTCTAACCATTCGTATCCAAGGTGGCATATGGCTGAGGCTGGGATTATTTGATACAGCAAAAGAGTCGTATTGTTGTCATTGTATACTAGGGGTTGAGTCTAAGGGGAGAAAGAGCGATTATGATTTTCTTTGAACAGCTTTGAAGTGTAAGTATTCAACGCAATACTGTATAAATGGTAAATTCCAGTCTTTTCTTAAATTTGGATATGAGCGGCTTGGAATTTTTGCTCCGGAGGTTTAATGCTGCCATATGATGTGGATTCGATAGTTACAATTCTCCAAGTGTGTGTAGAAATTTAGCAACTGAGGATAAAAAGGCTGAAATACTTAAGGATATGGGGAAATGGATACCAATACAACCTAGCTTTGGTGGAAGGGCAGTTTGCATACTGAAGAGTGAAGAGAATTTGATATTTAAAATAGATTCGGGAGTATTTTTATAATGAACCTCAAGGTCTAGTAATATTTCAAGGGACATGAAAATTGTTGATACACGAAAGGCAAATTTTAGGAATGAATAAAAAATATTTAAATAAATAAAAAGTAAAATATTTTTCATTCTATTGAATTTGACAAGAAATTGATCGCTGAAATGAAATATAGCAATTTCACCTGCAATGGGTGAACCTAGGTGGGTAAAGCTAGTTTTGTCCACTTCAATAAAATTTTCAGGTAGCCAGTCAGATTCAAGGGTGTGATAAATTAATTTTAAAATTATTTTTCTTTTATAATTTATTAATTTAAAATTTTGTTTAAATGTTTGATTGTTCACAAAGGATATGCAACAATAATATAATTTCCCATCCAAATAGATATTCTTTTCTTAAATTGTTACATTGCTAGGTTTCATAATTTTGTAACAAAATTCAATAAATAAACCTATTTTTAATATTATATTTCTTTACCTATTTATAGCACAATATATTCCACATTTTTTGCCCTCAAGTTACAGGTAATATTTATGGAATTTCACATAAATGTATTTTTTTAATTTTCTAAATTATATCATAGAATTTAGTATAAGGAACGACAAAGGCTTAGATTTTAGAATTAAATAATTTTTGAATAAACTACTAAATTAGTAATCATTACTTACTAATAATAAGAAAAATTTTCAGGCCAGCCCAGATTTTAAAAATATATTATATTTTTTTTAAAAAAAATTTCAGCCCCAGCCTGAGTATATCTAAAAGAAATTAAAATACGTCCCGGCCTGTGTATCCAGGCCTTGTAGGGCCGAGCCTGCAAGTCTCTAATAAATATATTCTATTTTTCGGTTTAATTATTCTTTTATATAAATAAATTGTATATTTTTTCAAATTGATTATAATTATTATATCCTAATAACATAAAAAAATATATATTGGCAATAAATTCATAACCTGAAGCCCATTTTTAGAATTAATGGACCATTTTAAAATTAATATAAGAACCAGGTCTAATAAAAGTATGAGAACGTTGCTCAAATTTTTAAAAAGGATTGCTTTTACAGAGTTTGGAATTAGAAACCTTGAAAACATATCAGATTAAAGAACCAAAACAACTTTTTCAAATTTTTAAGAACCAAAACTTTGTCAAGGAGACCTGCAAAATCATTTTTTTTTCAGTCTCACCTTGAATTCCAAAGATTTAGCCCAACCTGAAATTTATTTTTTAGTCTAGCTTGAATTTTTATTTATAATTAAATTTTATATAAATTAGACCCATTTTAGAGCTGAATGTTTCACCTGTTATTAGATTATTCTATTCCTAATCTAAATAAGTGTTATTTTTTATTTTCTAGATGAGTCTGATTCAGCATGCCAAAGACTCATTATCTTTATGTGACGATTTGCCAAATTTAAAATACTCTTTATTAAATATAATCTTGTCCTTAAATCAAATGCTCCTGTAGAGCGTTTATTCAGTCTAGGGAAGCTCATTTTTGAAGAGAAACAAGTGTCTCCTAGATAAAAATTTTGAAATCAATTTGTTGTTAAAAGCAAATAAATATTTATTAAACTCTAATTTTTATGAAAAATAAATGTTTTTTTCAATTTGCATTCAGTAAATAAATGCGTTATATGAATGTTGTATAAAGTAACTTATAATGTAACTCATTACTTTTGAAAAATAAGTGTTACTAATAACTAGTAATATTTTTGCCAATGTAACTAGTAACTAACTAGATATATGGATATTTTTTATTGAATAGCATCAATATTTTGTCCTTTTTGAAATTAATAGTTATGAGCTGACATTATTAAATTCATGGGGTTTATATATAAATTTATTAATATTTAAAGCTTAAGTATAAGGAGATTCTTATATAATTAAGTGATAAATTTTTAAAAAAAAATTAAATATATAAATTATGTTTTTAACAGTTTACATGTTAGATTGATCATATTGAAATTCTAAACTTCCTACATGATAGAAAGAATTGTGGAGCAAAATAATATTACAATTTTACTACATAAATTTATGAAAAATATTTATTTACTTTTACATTGATGAGATTATTTTAAAAAATTTAAGTTATGGTATACTAAAATTACATCATTAAAAAATTCTAAGTATGTATATAATGAACAAAATCTGATTCCTAATATCATATTAGTAATTGATAATATCCATTTAATATAGGATCAACCTCCAAGAAGTGGTATTGGTACACCCCACCCCTACTATAAATTAATAAGAATTATCACATGCAAATTAATCACTCAATATAATTGACATTTTCAAAGTGAAGGATTTATTTTTTTATTAATTTAATAACAATTATTTAACATACAACAATGTAATTAATGATAAAAAACAGAATATTTTCATATATGATTCCATTCTATTTAACCCTTCTTTTTAGAGACTCCTACAGTTCTTCCTCTTCTGCCAGTTGTTTTAGTATGTTGGCCTCGTACTCTCAAACTAAAAAAATATATAGAATGTCATCATATTAAAATATATATTACCCCCAGTAATGACGCAAGCCTCTGTGACAACGTATCTTCTTCAATCTCTCTAAATCTTCTCTCAATTTATTATCAAGTCCATTTGACAACATCTAAGCATTTTTAAATCTATATAATTAGCAAACAAATTGTTACTTGAAAATATTTCCCATCTTTGATATCTTTTTGTCTATTTAAAAACCAATCTGGAATTTTGTAATCCCTAGGATTTTGTATTACATTCATAATTTTGTCAACCTTATAAAAGTGATTAAATAATGTAAGGTTCATTTCAGTTTGACAGGCAATAACAATTGAAATTTATAAATATTATGATATAGAATATTTGTTTGATATAAAAAAAATATTTAAATATTATCACATAAGAGCTATATATAAAATTAGAATATGTATACTCTTAAAAACCTTTCTGTGTTGTAACAATATAAATACATGGGCAACCATGAATCAATTTTATGATTAAAATTATTTTAATGCCCATGATTTAAACTGTTATAAAGCAAAAAGATTTTTAGAATAATGACACGATGACAGTGAAGACGTGGTAGCATGTCGATTAGAAAGGCAGCATATTCCACATATATGATGGGTATTTTCAGTCTTGTGAGAACAAAATGATTTCCAGGTGAATAATGTTTTAGTGGACCAAATCCAAAATCCAGAAGAAATTCCAGGCACAAAGCACATTAGATATTTGGTGACAAATATCAAGAAATTTGGTTTTACTTGGTGATTGTAATAATGTGAAAACCATGAGGATTTGTGAGGATATGATGAGTGTAACAATTGACAAGCAAGAGGCGAATTGATGGATGCATCACTGCGTAAGTTGAAGGAATGAAAGTCAGGTAGTCTGTCAAAAAAATAATTTCCCTCATTTTTGCAAACTTTGTTGAACCACCACCATGTTGTCCACTGTTCAAAATATTTATGTTCATGAAACAAGCATGCAACATATATAGCTGCAGGCACTGTATATAAAACTGAAAATATGCCAATTCGTATCATTAGTTTTTCTAGTTTATCAGTTTTGGTTCCATCCAGTTTCATTACTGTTCTTACACGAAAAACAGAAAAAAATCCAGCCAATAAAAATGTCATTCCACAAATAAGATATGCCACTATAGGTACTAATAGGAAGCCTTTGAGAGCTGACATATCTGTTAGTCCAATGAAACATGTCCCCGACAATGGATCCCCTTCAATTTTGCGTGTAGCAATGGCTGCAATTGCTTTGAGTGCTGGAGCAGCCCATGCTGCTAAATGGAAGTACTTTGAATAAGCACCAATGGCCTCCTGACTCCACTTCAAACCTGCAGCTAAAAACCAAGTAAGAGCTAGAATGACCCACCAAACATGACCAGCCATGGTAAAAAAGTATAAGGTAGCAAATAAGGCTATGCACCCACCTTTATTATTTTTTATGCTGTGAAATGATTTGCTGAATATCATGCCATCAGAACTTCCTTTAGATATAATTTTAAACAATACAATATTATTTGAGTGTTGCATTGAACTAGGGTGAGGAAACACTGACATAGATGATTCTTTGTTGTATAATTCACATGCTAAATCATCATTTATAAAAAATCCAATTAGGTACATAATAGATATGATTAAATAACAAGCAGAGAGATAAATTATAGGTTTTTCTGGATATCTAAAACGTCTAGTGTCAATTAAGTATGTAAATATAGTAAATAAAGTTGATAAGGTGCAAAGAGAAGCCCAGGAAGCAATCCATGCTCTGGAAAACTTTTGATCCTCATTTGTAAAAAGCCAATTTCCAGAATTACAGGGTGTAGCACAATCTACAATCTTTTGTCCACCAATGTTAATCAAATGTCCACTGCTTGTTGGCCTCATTTTCAGAATATCTGGACATATAAATCCTGTGTTTAGAAGTGATTCTTCAAAGCTCTTGTGAATCTTATTTCCTTTGCTTGTAAGTTGTCTGTCATCTTTCCGCTCCTTATTTGTATCATAACTAAAAGACCTATCTGGAGTGTCTAATATCATATTTTGATTTATCTTTTTAATACCATTGCTTGATACTTTTGTGATTGTTGGATTATGATACTTTTTATTTTGTAAGTAGGGAGATTGTGGTGAATGAGCAATTTTTTTCAGTTCAAGGTCATAAACATCTTCCTTTCCATTTGTACTACTGATATTATTGCCAACACATAAGCCTGAGACAGGAAACTTTTTGCAGTCAAAACCTTCAGGCCAAAAAAAGTTGAACTCATTCATTAGCTTTTCACAGCCATTTCGGGCTGAGGCACAGAGTGAACGGCAAGGAGGTATAGCCCGATCTAAGATGGTACAGACAGGCACATAAACTGAGCAAAGAAAAAGATTTAGGTCAGGGCTGCATTGGACTTTAACAAGGGGGAAAAATTGGTTAACCTCAAGACCAGCTTCCTCTTGACTAGAGTGACCTCGCAAGTTGGGCATAATGGTGGAATTATATTGTATACCCTGACACAGTGGTAGGGTTATAGGCTGGCATCGTTCATTTTTGGTGGTACGCTTAGCTCCATTTGAAACTAAGGAGGAAACTTCGTTAACATTTTCGCGTGGCCCAGTTATCTCGATCGATGTTATAAATACTAAAAATAAGTGGAACAGGAATAGTGAAATGCGATATTTAACTGTCATTGTATATTGAAGGATAAGATCAATATAAATTTTAAAAATAAATTTCCGGTAAAAGGTAATAATCGAAATATGTTGTAGACGAATAATTCAACCAGAGAAAAGAAATATGCGATAAACGAATATATAATAATTACAACACTATATAGCCGATATCATCCATTGCGATACTTATGAATATTTTTAAACGAGAAAAAACATCAAAAATTTGAAATAGCAGGAAGTTGTAATGAATATTCGGAAAATAATGCTTAAATTTGAAGAAAATGGATAATTCATGCGGGAGTAAACTTATTAAATATATCCAGACAAAAAAAACGATTTTTCGTGAAAAACAAAAATGGAGATGAATAAAAAATAAATAAATATTAACGATAAAAAAACAAACCATGTGCGTAAATAAATAAAATAATAGACGGCCATTTAATTTGTGTTATTTTAATGTTTTATTTGAATTGCGTTTTTATTTATAGGGATTTGCATGATATATTTTTAAGTCGCTTTTTCCTAGTTTCTATATTTGCATTTAATATAAATTAAAAAAATTCCAACAAAATTATAAGTGATATTTTGAATGGAGAAATTTTACTTTTGGGTTTAAGATTAAAATGATGACAATAAAGTAATCAAATATCAGAATTTAATTTGATCAAATGTAAAATTATGAAAATTTTCAGCAGTATTTTTTATGACATTTACTATGTATTGAATGGTTATTACATAAATATAAATAAAATTAATTAAATGATACTCTTCTAATTGGGTTTTATAAAGGTAGATTGTGTGTTCACTTAAATGCTGTTCACACATCCCACAGAGCTTTTAAGAAACAATCTTTGGTACCTTTTCCATAAATCAAGAAAATTTAACACATCGTATTAGCAATACAGTGATTTTTTATTTAAATTCAGATAATACTTTTATTCAAGAACACTTATCTAAATAATTGCAAATATCTATTGATGTTCTACAGCAATATACTAGTTCCCTCTCTAATTATGGTAGAATTTTGTCAAATCATATATTGATAATATTGAATCACAACCTTTTATTTTCCAGTTAGCTAGATTATTTCAAAGTAAAAAAATGAAGAAATAAGATACATCCACTTATTATGTTCAGACTTTATACATAATATAAGATTATCTTTTATATTTATTGACAATCAATAATGATTAATATAAAACTATTAATCTCCAATCACAGTATTAAATTCAAACACTTATAATTATATTTATGAATAATTTATTATTAGATTAAAAAAATTAGCAACTTATATATATTTTTTTATAAGATAGCTAAATAGTCTATATTAAATACAGTAAAAAAAAAATATCCAAATTTGATATATTAATTAAATATTGCTTTTACAATGAGAATTTTATTTTTTTGATGTAAAACACTTAGAAGTTGTAATTTAATTGATAATATTACTTCTTCGTTGGATAATTCTCCTGCTCTTTTTGTCAAATCTATTCCTGCTTTTTTACAAACCAAAGTTGAAAAACGGCGACCAATACCCTAATATATTTATTTATAGAGATAAAATTGTATATACTTTGATAGATGTTAAGGCATACACGATTTTAACCTTTCCATCAATATTTGTATTCATTAGACGAAGAATATGTTGAAATTTTTCAGGTAGAACAAGTGCCATAACTAAAATATACTACATGTATTATAAAGATTTCTAAAATAAGCTTACTTTATTTATAGTTGTGTAATAGGAAATTACAAATTGACAATATTTTACAAACTCGATAAAATTTTAAATAAGCAATTTAAATGTTAATTTATTACTTTTTTTGATAATAAATAAGTTTAAAGGGTAAGACAAAATTTAAATTTAACAATAACAAGATTTTAGTCTTAATTTAGAAATGGTTAAATGTTTATTTATATGTAAATTCTGAAAGCTAGTTCAATTAAATTTGGTTTAACAATTAAAGGCCATTAAGGTTTGGTTCACTTAAGCATTACAAATTTGCGTTACTTTAGGGTGGAAGAGCTTAATTTTTTGATGCAAGGACAGGGTAGATGCAAATTATAACTAATCTTAATTTTGTTTTGATAATGTTATTTATTTATCTTTTAAATTATTTAGACATCCCGATAATATGGTAAAATTATCTTTATAAACTAGAACTATCTAGAGCATCTGTATAAGAGAGCAATAGAAATTTTCCTCTAATTTTTTGAAGGGGGTAGATAGGAGGCATTATTAAAAGTAGTATTGTTGAACGGTCCGATGTTGGTTCAATGGCGTCACTAGAGGAGGGGGGGCAGCTAGCACCCTAAAAAATTTGAATAGCCCCCTGAAGCAACAAAATTTTTTTAATGGCTTCTTAACATCCTCGTGAACTAAAAATAAATTTTTTTGATTGCCCTTAAGTAATATATAGATTTAATTTTATTATTTAAAAAATTAATAAGACTATCTAAATTTTTATTAAATGAATCTATTTTAATCATTAGATTAGATTAATACATATAAATTATATTTTCACTATGTCAGTTTCAGTTGCAATCAAATTCTGTGTTAAAAATAGAATATCAATCACTCACTTAATATTAATTTAGCATTAACAGTTAAAGCTTAATAGACTTTTATTATTATAATTATTATATATTCACTTATTAATTGATAATTAACAAATTTAATATTAATAGTCGAGTTCAAATCACTAATCAACTAGATTATTCATTTTTAAATTTAAAATCTATGTTTCCCTAAAAATATTTTTAAGGTCCAAATAAGTATAAGAGATTTCTTTATAAAAAGTAAGTAGATTTATAATTTATAATCCTCTATAATATACAATAGGTTATAAATTTTTAGGTAAAATACAACTTTTACAGACGTATTTGACAGTTATATAATATATTACAATTAATATTTAAATTTTACTAATAAATTCTTTTGATAATAAAAATATGAAACAATTTGCATTCAATTCTTTAACGTCATCTATTTATTTAAAATATTATTAAAAATAAAATACCTTAATATTCATTCCACAATTGATGTAATAGATTAGAGATATTTTCTTCTCTAATTTTTTTGTGTTTTTAGGAAAGCTATTTTTTCATTCTTTGATGAACAGTTTTGAGTTAAATTTTTAATATGTACTAGTAAGTATTTTTGATAATATTACAAACAACTTAAGATATAATAAAACAACTAGAGGTGGAGCGACAATAATATATAAAATCTTAATTGCTTTCATCATATCACATTGGTTCTTATTTTATAGTTAAAAAATGTTTCATTTCTAATATGGTATCCTTGCCGTCTAAATAACTCAAGGCTTCAATATATTAACATAATTTCTTTTTAAGATCTTTTAGTTTTTTGTTTTATCAACTTATCTAACCTAATAAATTTTGATATGAGTTAACATCGTGAGTGTCATGGCTATGACTGCAAATTAACCAGCATATATTATTTGTGCGGCTATGTAATTTAAGATAATTACTACAGCTGCTGAGAGCATATGATTGCATATTTTAGATAAGCAATAATCAACTGTGTAGTCGTTTATATATCATTAAAAATATAAGATAATCTTTTAGAAATTTGACAAAATATAAAATTCAGAATAATGATTCAGAGTTAACAAATTATAAAAAAGTATAATATATTAATATAAAACCCAGCCGAAGGCCGGGCAAAAATTGAGCCCCCTGAGATTGTAAAGGCTAGCGAAGCCCTTGTGTTGGTCGATTTTTAAAAACAACCCGATTAAAATTTTAGCCAAAATACTATTATATAAGCCTCGAGATTTGGATTAGAGATCTAATTCTTTCTTCCATATATGAGCAAATTTTCAAGGTCTACCTAATATTATCTTGGCGAAAATCATTTTTGAAAATTGATCCAAATCGGGCCATTTATAACACTAATGAAAAGGGTAATTTCAGGGGTAAGGTAAGAGTTGGGTAGTACCGCGAATACTTATATTTAGGATGCAAGATTCTTTATCTTGTTCTTGTACTCAGTATCTTTTTGACATTTTTAATTAGATACTATTCTCTGTTTTTTTGTATCTTTTTAATTTTCTTGATAAAAGATATAGATACAGATTCTTATTAATATTCCTATTTAAAAATTTTTATAATAGAAAATAAACTAATTTTCTTTATTTAATTTTGTATTATTTATTTAATTTTTTTCCGTTCTATTTTAAATAGATTGACAAATAAAATTAGGTAGTGAAGAAGAAGGTAGTAAAAGTGATATTATGGAAATAAGTTCCATGAATAAAATCCTAATTTTAAAATTTTAGGAAAATTTTTTCTGATGTTTCAACTAAAAATACATTGTATACTGAATTTCAAACCTGTACAAACAAAAAAATGATAAAGGATTCAACAAACTCCTCTTACAAATTAATCCATAAACATATTAAAGTATATTATTAATATGATAATTTTATGTTATAATATAATTATATTTTTTTTAATTGGAGATACCATTTATGCATTTATACCCAATTTAAATTGTATTTAAAAGAGCAGAGAAATAACCAGCAAACGCCACCACCATATAAAAATGATTCAACTTAGTATATCAGCTTCATTTAATGCCATTAATAAAAACCAATAATTACATTATAGACAAATAATAATGTGATATTTTAGATATTCTAAGTAATGTTGGATCACTTAGATTTTTCTCAAGTAGAAATAATGTATATATTCATTTATTAAATGTAGTTAAAAGTGCCCATACATATGAATCAGCTTTAGCACCATTTTATGACACGTCGTTAAAATTACATTAATATGCATATTTATAATGATAGATAATTGCTCGAAGTATAAACCATAAAATGCCGCTATAGCTGACTCCTATGTAAGGACACTTTTAATAAATGAATAGCTGCTTACCACACATAAGCGTAGCCAGGGGGGGCAAGGGGAAATCCCCCCCTTCAGAAATTTATCACCTTTTGTAAATATCATTTTTAGCTAATAAAAAATATCCCCCTTAGTCCTCCCCCCACTCCTCAAATATGTATGCATATATTTTAAATAATAATTTAAAAGAAAGAATGTAAAAGTTGATTTTTTTTTAAAACTATTCATCATAATTTATAGATTTTTGGGAAAATAAATTTATAAATATATAAAATGAACCAAAAATGTTTTTCAATAAATGGAATATAAGCCAAAGATAAGTCTTAAGACAGAAGTGAAATGTATTATAATTATTAATAATAGATCCATAAAATTACTAAATAATATAATATATCAAATTTTATAAAGTGAGTAATTTTAATTTATTTATCTTAATAAAAGTAAAATATAATTATAAAACTATTGATAAAATTAAATCATAAATTAAAAAAATATTAAAACACAATACAAACAGTGGAATATTATATGTCGTAGATTTACAATATATATCTATTTATCAAATGACAATCAAGTAATTTTTATCAATATAGCGAATTATATATTTTACAGAAAACGATAAAATATTGATAAGAACATCAGAAAATATGTTTTAAAGACATTGTGGGATGAATAATATGAAGATTAAATTTAAATATCATTTTTACTTAAAATAAATAGATGGCGTTAAATAATTGAATGCAAATTGTTGCTATATATAATAACAAGAGCATTGATTAGTAAAATTTGTTAAATTATTAACTGTAATATATTCTCTAACTGTCAAATATGTCTGTAAAAGTGGAATTTTTAGTATTTTGTTACCAATTCAATATAATAGAGGAACATCAACTATATGTCTACTTACTTTTTATATTTCTTATATGTGTTTGAAATAAATTATTACCATGCTTTTATATTAATGTATATACAAGTAATTTATTATATTTTATATAAACTAATAAAAATGTATTTCATATTTGTTCCAGGCTTATTTTTTTATCAAAATTTGTAAAAATATTTTATGACTATATATAGACTAAAGTGCCGGCCCAAATGGGGGTCTGGAGGCGAAGCCCCCAGTAATTTTTTAATCCCCCCTTATGAAAATCCTGGCTACGCCTATGCTACCACATCACACGTTATCTTTAATTACCCTCAAATGTCTCTCTGAATATCAAACTCAAGGGTCATAGTTTAATCAGTAGTTTAGACATTTAATTTTAACATAAATATGTCAATTTGTAGTTTAGTCATTTTAATTTTAACATAAATATGGTAATTCGGTGTTTAGCCATTTTAATTTAACATTATATATGGCAATTCGTAGTTTAGTCATTTTAATTTAACATTAAATACAGCAATTCGTAGTTAGTTGCCATGTCTCCCCCCATCAACGGGAGACTCCCGCAATTTTTTAGTTTACACGCAGAGATCTCTCTCCCGCACAATTGAAAATCTCCTTGAAAAAATCTACCGCAATTTTTAAATTTCTCCATCAATTTTTTTTTAGTATTTTAACATTTTTAATATATAAATAATAATTTTGAGAGACATTAATTGATGATTTTTATTTTTTAAAATAATTTTAAATATTTATTCGAAAAACATGTCTAGTTTGTAAATTTCTTTATATCCTGTTTTATTTTTATCGAATAATAAATCAACATCATTTCATTCATATAAGTCAATACAGGGGAGTATATCAATATCGATTGCAATACAAAAATATTCTCAAATAATAAGTAATATAGATGCAACTATATTTGCCTAAATTGTATACATCTATCATGTAGTTCAAAATTCACAGAGCTATATCATCACAATGTTGGTCGAATCTTTTTCTTATAATATT